TTTAGGGAATGAGAGAAAGAGAATTTAAAAGAAGACTGGTAATGCAAGTCCCTACAATTTATCATAAATGTTATAATCCTTAGCAACTGGAAAATCTTTCCATATCAATGCAAATTATAGAATTAAAATATTCACTGTAAAAAGCAAAAATGATAGCCTCAGCCTCAAATTAGTATGTACACAAAGGTAGATTGTCCTTAAGGAAACTCATTAGTTTCCCCTCAACTTGAATTAACAAATTCACAATATCCCAATTTCTTACCCAGTGTTACTTATCATAACACAATATAATAACATCACTATTTCTTTAAAATGCAGAAATTAAATGCTATAAAATAAATAGGCCGTCTTACAAATTACACTTGGAAATTTAGAAAGAACGCTCTAAAATGTGGATGAGAATACAGATGGTGATATTGTAGCAAACATTCCCAAAAAGAATTCTTGTTATATAATGAAAAATAATGAATGAGATCTTATCATCTCCAGTTCTGCTTAATCAGTATCTTCTCCCAATGTTTTTTTAATGGCCTTTCTAACCTAAATATCTCTCTACTGAACTTGGTCAATTTCTTTCTTGACTTCTAAGTGAAGTTTATCTGCTACTTGATGACTACATTAACTCCTCAGATTTTTCTCCTTGTTAAATTCCAAAAGACTATTATTATAGCCTGTATTTTCCAACATCTTAGCTGCATTATTCACTTTTGAACCTTTTCTTAAAAAGGCATCATTGATACACAAAAATATTATACTTGCATTTTAACTCCTTTAGAAATAATTTTGGCTTTTTAGTAACATATTTGTAGTACATTTCTAAACTGACAATTCACGAGAGGTACACAATGCATTAAGAAAATCTTGAATAGCAGTTTTCTAAAATACTACATCTCTTAGACTACAGTAACTCAATCACAGCACAAAGTTTAAATATACTGACATCAATGTGAAGAAAATTATTTTATTGTGCATTTTAAAAACTTTATCTGAAATAATCATTCTTTTTTAAGTTGCTCTTCAACTCTTTGCTTTAGTTGCTCTTCACTACTGAAGAACTCATTTACTTAAAAATGATATACCAGCAAATTGTGGGTTGACCAAAATCAATTTTGAAAACAAATACTTTCAAATCCCTAAGAAAGATGTGAATAAAACTGCAAAATTTATGCCACTTTTCACATTCTTATGGTTCTGCAGGGAATAAAAGGAGATGTGAAATGTATGTCTGGTGAGGGAAATGAGATACCATGTTACAACAGAACAGGGAGCACAAGGGCTAAGGAGTTGGCCTGAATGAGATACAGCTTGCTAATTCCTGCACTGTAGGGATCCTGAAAAAATCTTTTACTAAATTCAATCACCACCCCATAATACATTTTTTTATTTACATTCTTAAAGTTACATTTTTTAAAAAATAGCTGGTTTGAGAAGACCTCACAAAGTTGACATTTGAGCAAAATCCTAAAAGGATTAAGAGTATGTAGAAATCTGGTGGAGAAGCATCCCAGATATCCCATAGTCACTTCAGACCAAAGATTCAAATCTGAACTTACTGTTTTTCCTCCAAAACCAGCTTCTCTTCCTGTATTTCCTGTCTCTTTGAATTGTGCCATCATCTCTCCCACCACTCAAGAAAGAAATCTGAGATTTACCTTTAGACTGTATTTTTCCATAACTCTGAACAACGATCTGCAGCCCAAGTCCTTTTGTTCTATCTCTTTATACCTCATATTGACTTCCTTTTGCTAATATTGGAAGACCATCGTTACTGCTTTTGCTTAGGCCATTGTCATTTTTCTCTCAGATTTTTCTAATATGTATTCTCTTAACTGGTCTTCCTGCCTCCAATCTTGTTTCCTCCCATCCATCCTGATGCTGCTGAATAATATTTGTGAAATGCAAAGTTTATCATGCCATTCTCCTGCTTATAAACTTTGCAGTTGTTTCTCATTATGGTCAAACCCAAACTCCTTATTGTGGCATGGAGAGTCTTAGGTGATTAGCACACTCGCCCTCCCCGTCTTTCCACTTGACCTCTCCAGGTTTCTTTTCTCCGTTTTAGGCAAATTTACCAGCCCTTGCTCTATAAAGTTCCTCCTCTAAGTGACCCCTTTCAACACTGTGTTTACACAGTTTGTACAAATTACTTGTAACAGTCATTTGCTTACATGTTCGTCTTTC